CCTGGCACGGGCACCGTAGCCAGCCCGTGCCCCTTTAAGGGGGCCGGGGCCGGGAGGGGGGCAGACGAGTTTCCCTGGTGTTGGCCTGAGTGGCCACCAGGGAAACCTGGGGAGGGCTAGCCTCCCACTAGTTCGAATTAAGGGTCTACACAGCCCTCAATTTGAACTAGTAAGTTCGAACTAGGCTTAATCCTCGTGGAATGAGGATTACCTAGTTTGAACTAAGCGCTCCATTAGTTCGAATTAAGTTCGAACTAACAGAGCTCTAGTGTAGCGCCTATGAAAGTTAGTTTGAACTAACATCTGTTAGTTCGAACTAACTTTGTAGTGTAGACATACCCTCAGAAACTGGTCAATTCAGAGAGAAAAAGCTGGTGTAGAAAAATCTTGCCTTTTACCTCATCTGCTCTAGAGCCATAAGAGCAGCATTGTCCTCTTCTAGGAGACAGGTGACTTTCTTTAATCTTTCTCCCAGCTTGGTATCATCTGCAAACTTAATAAGTGTACTCTCTATGTTAATATCTAAATCATTGATGCAGATATTGAACAGAACTGGTTCCAAAATAGATCCCTGAGAAATCCCACTTATGCCATTCCAACATGATGAATCACTAATAACTACTCTCTGAAAACGGTTATCAAGCCAGTTATGCACCCAACTTCTAGTAGTCCCATCTAAGTTGTATTTGCCTAGTTTACTGATAAGATCATAGAACACGAGAATTGGAAGGGACCGTGAGATGTCATCGAATCCAGTCCCCTGCTCTCATGGCAGGACCGAGGACCATCTAGACCATCCCTGATAAGATGTCTATCTAACTTGCTCTTAAATATCTCCTGACATGGAGATCCACAACCTCCCTAGGCAACTTATTCCAGTATTTAACCACTCTGACAGGAAGTTTTTCCTAATGTCCAACTTAAACCTCCCTTGCTGCAGTTTAAGCCCATTGCTTCTTGTCCTATCCTCAGAGGCTAAGGAGATCATGCGAGACTATATCAAATGCCTTACTAAAGTCCATCATTTCTCCCTTATCTACAAGACTTGTTATCCTATCAAAAAAGCTATCAGATTGGTTTGACATGATTTGCTCTTTACAAATCCATACTGGCTGTTACCTATCACCTTATTTTCTTCCAGATATTTGCAGATCAATTCCTTAATTACTTGCTCTACAATCTTTCCTGGCACAGAAGTTAAACTGACTGGTCTGTAAATTCCTGGCTTGTTCTTATTTCCTTCTTTATAGATGGGCACTATATCTGGAATCTCTCCTGACTTCCATGATTTTTCAAAGATGTAGCTAAAGGCTCAGATACCTCCTCTATCAGCTCCTTGAGTATTCTAGGATGCATTTCATCAGGCCCTGGTGACTTGAAGACATCTAACTTTTCTAAGTGATCTTTAACGTGTTCTTTTTTTATTTTATCTTGTAAACCTATCACATTCCCTCTAGCATTCACTATGTAAGGCATTCCTTCATCAGACTTCTTGGTGAAGACCGAATGGCACCTCTGCCATTTCCAAGTCTCCTGTTATTGTTTCTCCCTCCTCACTGTGCAATGGGCCTGCCCTGTCCTTGGTCTTCCTCTTGCTTCTAATATATTTATAGAATGTCATCTTGTTTCCCTTTATGCCTGTAGCTAGTCTGAGCTCATTTTGTGCCTTTGTTATTCTAATCTTGCCCCTGCATACCTGTATTGTTTGCTTGTATTCATCCTTTGTAACCTGTCCTAGTTTCCACTTTTTATATCATGCAAGATCTCCTGGTTAAGCCAAGGCAGTCTTTTGCCATACTTTCTATCCTCTCTCGCAGCAGAATAGCTTGTGTTGAGCCCTTAATGTCCCTTTGAAAAATTGCCAACTCTCTTCAGTTGCTTTTCCTCTTAGTCTTGCTTCCCATGGGACCTTACCTACCAGGTCTCTGGGTTTACCAAAATCTGCCTTCCTGAAATCCATTGACTCTATTTTGCTGTTCTCCCTTCTATCATTCCTTAGAATCATGAACTTTATGATTTCATGGGGGTGCAGGAATCAGGGCATTTAAAGGTTTTGTCCCTGTGTGGATTTTCTAGTGAACAACAAAGACTGACCTCTAACAGAGGCTTTCCCTGCCCTGGGCAAATTCATAGGTGTGATGTTATCAGACATTATGGACATGCATAACATTGTTGCAACCACTATCATATGCTTGCACCAAATCTTATGCAAAGTGGGTCAAGTGAGATGGCTACAGAAAGATTATGATTCCCTGACTGTTTATACCGCTCATATGTGTCTATCATTTTTGTACTCAAAGGTATGAGTATTGGCTCTATACCTGTATTTCATGTTTGTTTCTTGGAAATTATCAACAAGTTTCACACACCTATAGTGAAAAGGTTGCTAGTCAAACAAATAGCAATACAATGCATCTAAAGTGGTGCTAATCCACAGCTGAAGACTTCGTTGTGTACCTTCACGCCAGCATGTAAGCCATGGGTGCTTGCCTAAAAAGGACCGAGTCACAAATGGACAGGTGACTTGCTCATCTGCAAAATCCATTTTGGGAGGTACTTTCATACAAGGAGAACAATGGAATTCCTTCCACATGGACAAGGGTATAAAGAGGGCCCTAGAGGTTCATCCATCTTTGTTTTCATTCCAGACTTCATTCCAGCTCATCACTTCAGGAGCATCTTTGCTATGAAAGGACTGATGTATTCAAAGGATGCATTCCAAAAGTGTTTAAGATAGTTTATTCCATCTCTGTCACAAGCCTGCACCAGGAACATTATAAATGGTGTATTTAACTCGTGTCCTTTAACAATTTTACTCTCAACATTTTCTTTCTTTATTAATAAGCCCTTTGATTTTAGATTCTAAAGGATTGGCACAGTGTGTTCTTTCAGGTACGATCTAAGGTATAAATTGACCTGGAAATGTGGCTGGCCCTTTGGGATAAGGAGAACCTGTTCAGATCTGGTGAGATTGGTTTTCATAACCTCGCCTCTGTGTATTGTGTGGTAGTGGTTCAGACACAGGAGAAGCTGTTGTGTCTAAGAGGATTGTTTGTGTATCTTCTTGTTGGCCACTGTGGCAAACAGAAGTGCTCTCTGACTGATTTGGTGTACTTTATCATGGAGAACCACCAGACTTGGGCTGTAAGTAGCCCTCTCTTTAAGCAATTTGACCTTCTGAGCAGTGGCCCCAGAAACCTTTTATATCACTGTTAAGGTCTCTCATATCTTTAGATTCTTGGCTGTGATACAATGTGTGACAATGACTAAAGCTTTCTTTGCTTGAACTACAGCATTTACCTCTCTCTTCTGAGATGTTAAAGGAAGTATGCACTCCGAATGAACCTTTGAGCATAGTCTGAGCAGTTATATGGGCTCTGTCTTGTGTGAACTTCTGATGTGCAATAAGGTGTAAGCATTTACTGAAGCTTTTCCCAGTCACAGCAGCTGAGGAGTTTCTCTCCTGTGTGGATTCTCCTATGCCTAACAAGGCCTGCCCTCTCTCTGAAACTTTTCTCACTGTTCCCCCTAATTTTTCCCTTCCTGTGTGCAGAATGAATTTTGTTACAGGCACCAATATGGAGGGGATATGCGACATCTTCATATTGGCACACAGAACAAAGTTCAGGTGGTAGAAGTGGGGCTCAAGGGCTTGGATTGTGCAAAGGTGGCTCAGGGCTGGGACAGAGTTTGGGAGCAAGGGTGGGAGGGCTGGCTCTGAGGTGGGACTGGTGAGGAGGGGCTCAGGGGTGAGAGAGGCTTGAGCTGTGGAGGAGTGAGGGCTTCAGCTGCCGGTGTGATTTCTGGGACGGGCCAAGGATGGAAGGGTTATGGGGCAAGCCAAAGAAGGCTATACTGAGGAGAAAAAACTCCCACCAGTTTTCTCCACCCCATCTCAGGTGTTGCTGTGGAAGGGGAGGGAGGAAATAAGTACTTCTCCCTGCAATGGCAGATGTGGGGCTGCGGGATAGGCCACTGGAGATCTGGCCCAGTACTGAGACCAGTGGGTAGAGGCATCTCTCCCCACCATAGCCCCAAATACTTGCATGGCACTTAATCGGCTGCTGCATGGCCAATTGGTCACCAAGCTTAAAGAGAACAAAGGCTATAGGGTTTCTCTCCTGTGTGGATTCTCCTATGTCCTATGTTTAACAAGGAGTGATGTCGTATTGAAGCTTTTCAGTCAGAGCAGTTGAAGGGTGTGAATTCTCCTATGTGTGAATTCTCACCAGTGTGAATTCTCCTATGTCTAACAAGGGTTGACCTCTCCCTGAAGCTTTTCTCACAGGCGGAGCAGTAGAAGGGCTTCTCCCCTGTGTGGATTCTGCTGTGTTTATCAAGGGTTGACCTCTCCCTGAAGCTTTTCCCACAGGCAGAGCAGTTGAAGGGTTTCTCCCCTGTGTGGATTCTGCTGTGTTTATCAAGGGTTGACCTCTCCCTGAAGCTTTTCCCACAGGCAGAGCAGTTGAAGGGTTTCTCCCCTGTGTGGATTCTGCTGTGTTTAACAAGGGCTGACGTCTCCCTGAAGCTTTTCCCACAGGCAGAGCAGTTGAAGGGTTTCTCTCCCGTGTGGATCCTCTCATGACTAATAAGATGTGAACGCCTATGGAAGCTTTTTCCACAGTCAGAGCAGTAAAAGGGTTTCTCCCCTGTGTGGATTCTGCTGTGTTTAACAAGGTCTGACCTGTGTCTGAAGTTTTTCCCACAGTCAGAGCAGTTGAAGGGTTTCTCCCCTGTGTGAATTCTGCTGTGTTTAACAAGGGCTGATGTCTCCCTGAAGTTTTTCCCACAGTCAGAGCAGTTGAAGGGTTTCTCTCCTGTGTGGATTCTCTCATGACTAATAAGATGTGAGCTCCTCCTGAAGCTTTTCCCACAGTAACAGCAGAAAAAGGGCTTCTCCGCGTGGATTTTCCTATGTCCAGCAAGGAGTGAGCTTGCACTGAAGCTTTTCCCAAAGTCAAAGCCGGTGAAGGGATTCTCACTTGCATGGGTTCTTCGATGTTCAATAGGAGTTGCAGTGTCACTGTAAGTGTAGGGTGCTTGTTGATGGGGAATTTTCTGTTGCATAGCTTCTGTATTTCTTTTTAGCCTTTTGCTCCTGTGACTAGATTTACCCTGTCCCTTCCCTGGATGGTTTCCCTGTTGCCTTTCTGGGCTATACTGACCCTCACCGGTTTCTCTCTGCTCAGATCTCTGAGGACCATGTTGGATGGTTTCCCTGTTGCCTTTCTGGGCTATACTGATCCTCACAGGTTTCTCTCTGCTCAGGTCTCTGAGATCCATGCCCTTTGGAGCTTGCCAATAACATTCCATGTTGAGTCACTTGCTCTGGTCCTTTGTGATGACTCTCCTCATTGATCTCACTCAGTGTCACATCACCTGCTGGGATAGAGAGAGAATCCCGACAGGAGTCATTCTCTGCACTGAGCTGAAAGGAAAACTCTGAAAGGGGAAAAGAAATGGGGGAAAACACCCATTAACGGCTGGAAAGGTTGAATAATCATGAGCTGAGTTTATCCTCCTTCCTCACAACTCTTCCCCAGGAGGAGAGAGTCCAACTCCCACCCCACGAGCTGAGTTTATCCTCCTTCCTCACAACTCTTCCCCAGGAGGACAGAGTCCAACTCCCGCCCCACACCCTCTGACTGGAGTTGAAGACAGGCCAATGGGTCAGTGAGACTTGATAAAAATGCATGAGACACCCTTTAGGATGACACAGAAATTGGTTTCTGACTCAGTTTAGTTGATTGCTCTCCTCTCTCTCAGAGCGCTTGATATCCGGGATCCACAGCTCCTTCTCTCGCTCCACCCAGGAGATCACATGAGCTTTGGAGACCGGAAATCCTGCTCGGGGAGCAATTAACCAAGTGTTGATCTTGTTCATTAAGGTCTCTGCCATTACTACTTCCACAGCCAGGATCAGAGTCGCCCATCCAGAGAGGTTCCTTCCCCACCTTGCAGGGACTAGGCTCTGGATGGTACAAGATCCCACAATACACCCACCTTCAGTAAAGGTGCATCCCCCCACCTCAGGAATGACCCAGCTGATTCTCAGCGGGAGCTGAACTTTCTACTGCACTTTCCTAGGTACAACTAAGTCTCCCTCATGGCCCATTCCATCCCCCCATCCCAGGGCAGGACAGAAGATGAGCTCTAGTGAGGGCCATGGGTCTGACACTGAGTCCCACAGCCAAGGCTCAGACTGCAGCTGCCACATGGCAGGTCACTACAACTTGGAGAGAAAGGACCCCAAGGGATATGTCCACAAAGTTCCTGTCTGGGGGACTCAGCTCACCCTGCTCTTTGATGGAATGGCTGACTTGTCCAAGCTAGAAATGTCAATGAGTAGTTGACTTCATGATTAACGACAAGCCTAAGCATATCAGCTAATCTTGTTAAGTATTCACCAGCCCTGTCCCAGGGACCATCAAATAGTTGTGCAACTGCTAAGATTTCTTACATCCTTAACAGTGACCTGCCCCTTCTAGAACAGCAGCTCAGGCCGGTTTGCTGGCGATGTAAGAATACCCTGTAGGAGGATGTTGTCTTTGTGGAGTCCTTCCGGGAGGGTGGCTAGGCTGGCGACAGTAGAGGCACATCTTTTCCTCAGCTCAGAGATGGGGAGGAGCAGGGAAGGCATGTGTCATGCTGCCCTGCTGAGACTACCTCAGGGGCCCAAGGTCAGCAGTAGGGCCCTGCAGCTGAACCTGCCCAATACTCCTAAGTCACTCTAAGTAACCTGCCCTGGGCTTCCAAAGGAAGTCTGCTGCAGGGCAGGGAATTCAACACAAGTGTCCCGACACCAAGTACAGCGTCTGAAGTTCAAAAAGAGCTCATTTCACAATTAATAACAGAGGCACTAACCCTCAGTCCCTACACCCAGCCCCTTTCACTGACAGGAACCAACAGCCACAGCCAGAAAAGACTTCGGGAACTGCACCCTCCTTCCAGGGGCTCAGCCCACTGGCACAAGGGTACCCTGTAGGCACTAACAGCAGCAGGACCCAGACCCACAACTCTGGTACCTGCCGTTCCTGCCTGGGCCCTTCCACTCACACCTCCGGCCAAGGCACAACATGGGCAAGATGGTGGGGAAGCACATTGAGACTTTTGGTATGGGAAAAACAGCACCATTGTTATGTCCCTGAACCTGTTTCCCCCAGAAGGGCCTTGAAAGGGACAGTCTCTCACACAAGAGTCAGGATTATTGGGGCTGATACTCCTGACAATGGAGGGCAGGGGGCAATGAGGGACCCTGAACAAAACCCAACTCAGATGCTCCAGAGCCCACCCAATTTCTGATATCCAAGGGAACAGGAATCCTTACCCAGCCAGCTCACAGCCTCATAATTGTCCTGCATCACATCCCAGTAGAGGACTCTCTCACCCGGGTCCAACAGAGCCCATTCCTCCTCAGAGAAATACACAGCCACCTCCTCGAAGGTCACCGGCTCCGTCACAACCATTTCTTTTCCCCAGCTCTGCAGGCCGTGGGCTGAGCTGGAGCAAGGCATGGCATTCTGCAATCTGTAAAGGGGAGAAGGGCAAATGGAGACATTTCAGAAGGGGCTTTAATCCTTTCCACACCCCCATTCTCCCCAGACTCTCTCCCTAGTGACACACATGCTAGCCTCTGCCATTCTGGGCAAATGCTGGGTCTAGATCCATAAACGGCACACACAAATTATATCCCAAATCTATATTAATTTCTCTCAGTACCTGGCTTGAGTTTCAACATTACTGAGCCTGAAAGAATAGGATTCAGTTCTGAGTGCTAGGGATGTAATAGTGTAGCCGATTAATTGATAAGCAAAAGCTTATAGGTTCATTCTATAGATTAAACATATTTCCCCACCCCCTACCTGCCAGTAAATTTCTTAGCAGGCTGGCCAGCAGCCCAGATCAGTCCTGTCTCACGCCAGGTGAGGGACCTACCCCCGCTGTGGCTCTGCATTTAAAGTGTATTAAGTGTATCAAGAGCTGGGCAGGCAGGCAGGGTCTGGGTGCTCAGACACCCCCTAAACAGGAGTTTCTGCCACCCCATGCTGGTGCCTCTATCTGGTTTTTAAACTGGCTGCCCTCGAGGACCAGCTCCTGCCTAGTACCCTGCGCTGCTGCCTCATGAAGTGGCAGGGGGCTCCTTGGAAGTGGGGCTGGAGAGCACTGGCTGCTGGCCCCAGCCCCAGGGACTACAGAATAGTTGAGTAACCAATAAGAATTCATGACATTACTTGACTATTCAGTTAACCAATATTTAACATCCCTATCCACAACACAGATTAAAAGAAGTTAATACAACTATTCAGATGCTTATCGTCAAACGTGTGGTGAGCGTTTGTAAGATGAGATTCTAAAATTCATGGATTCATGGGATCAGAAGAGATCCTTAGTCATGCAATCTGACCTTCTCTGTGGCACAAGCCATTACACTTAACCCAGTTACCTAGGCACAAAGCTCTATTTCCCCAAAGCATGTTTTCCAGAAAGTCGTCCAATGTTGATTTGAAAACATCAAGAGATGGAGAATCCACCACCTCCTTTGGCCTTTTGTTTCAGTGGCTAATCCTCTTCCCCATCAAACATTTGTGCCTTCGTTCTAGCCTTCGTTCTAGACATGTGTACATCCTGCACATGTAGGCTCCTCAGCTCCAGTGCTACTTCCTCCCACAGCCGCTGGGCAAGGCACAGCCTATCCTGCTGCCAGGGAAGGGGGAGGGCACCAGCCACTCACAAAACCACAAGAGCCCAACCCAGCCAGCCAGACCCTGAGCAACCCAACCTGCTGCCTGCCCTGTGGGAGTAACTGAGGGAAGTGCCACTGTTACCAGGAGTTCAGAGGGACCCAGGTGAGGCAGAAACCCAGTGATGGAAGGGGGAGGGAGGAACGGCACTTGTCCACCTGTAGCTTTGCAGCCCATGAAGGGGAGGAGGGGGTATGGGTTTGCTTTCTGCATTCCTGACCAGTGACCTACAACTCAGAAGCTGGAGCTGGCGCTGCAGCCTTGCAGCTACGCACCAACTGCGAGGCTCAAGCAGCAGCAGAGGAGGTGGGGGGCTGAGCTCAAGCTGTGGCAGGAAACACTCTCAAGTTAAAGAATGAGATTCTGGACATGCACATGTAAATACAGTTCACTCAGTTTGCTTAGGCCTGCTAGATATTCAACTGTTACAGTGGTGTTTTGCCTATGTTAACCAGTTTGGCTGTTGTGGGGTCACAAACTGTGTTAACATTAAATGCAGGAACTGTGAGATATGATCAGCAATCCTTGCAGTTATTGTGAGGATGCAGAATAGTCAGACCGTGTTTAATTCAATTCTAAGGACAGAGACTGGCAGTGTAAAGAACCTCCATGACCCAGGGTTCCCCTGCCAAAACTCTGTGAACTGGGAGAGGGCAGGACTCAATCAGCAGGCTACATGCCCTCCAGGTGTGAACTGTAAGACTGGTTCAACCTGTTTCTCCTCCCTGTTCTAATGATAAAACTAGAACAAACTCCATAAGAAGTCTCTTTATTTTTAAAAATTTACTCAGGTGGATGCTGGAATTTCTTGTGGCTGGATTGCGTTTTGGGCCAAGAGCTGAGATCGCTAAGTTTAGCCTAGAGCCAAATCCACCACAAGCCAGCAGATGTACCAGGTGGCCAGCAAAGCGGCAGCATGATGAGGGCCATAAACACAACCCTGGAAAGTGGGCACTTGGCTCCCCCATCCCCATCCTGTCCCTCTCTGCCATATTTTTACAAACACTGCAAATGCTCCCCCACTGAGATTTTTTAGTAGCAGTGCCCAGATTCTATTCTTAACCCCAGTGCCTGTCCTAATTTTGTCCTTTGGCCCCTCAGCCAGCTGTGTGATCCTTCCCATCCATGGGGTCGGTTTGTCCGCTGGAAAGATTTTGCCTCCCCTGTGATTTCACACGTCAACTTCCCACTTTTTCGGGTTGGAGGCCACCGATCCACAGAAAAATCAAGTAGTGGGCTGCACACAAGTGAGAGACCTTGTACACCAGAACCAAGGGGGCCCAGCCTAATACGTTTTGTGTGCTCTATCCCCAAGTCAAGTGGCAAAGGGGCTAGAAAGCCAGTGCAGGGTCCACAATGCTGAGGAGGGTCCCTGAGTGTTGGGGAGGGGGGACCCTGGCAAGCCAGGGGCCACATTTGACCCCCATGCTGTAGATTTCCCACCCCTGCTTTATAGTGTGAGCCAGTCAGCTTTAAGCAGACACAGAAACCAACCAGGGATTCTTTAGACCCTAAAACCAGGTCTGGCCATGACAGTGTTTGGAAGGGGCTGTATCTAAAACATTTCACTGCATCTATGCCCTTTAACAGGTGAATCCACCTGACCCAGCAGGGAAGAGCTGCCTTGGCCAGTCCCTGGGAGACACTGTGCCATTCAGATGACAGCCCTGGGAAACGGCCCTGAGATGCTCCCCCCTGGAAA